ATCAAGCTCTCACTATTCGCAGATGATATGATACTCTACTTAGAGAACCCAATAACTTCCACCAAAAAACTCTTAGAAACAATAGACTCGTATAGTAAAGTTGCAGGTTATAAAATCAATACCCAAAAGTCCATGGCTTTCCTATACGCAAACAGTGAGAGAGAAGAAAGCAACATGAAAAAAACAATCCCATTCACAATTGTGCCCCAGAAAATCAAGTACCTAGGAATCAGCTTAACTAAGGAAGTAAAGGACCTGTACAAAGAAAACTACAAAACGCTACTTCAGGAAATAAAAGAGGACATGAGGAAATGGAAAGATATCCCCTGCTCATGGGTCGGGAGACTTAACATTGTCAAAATGGCAATACTACCGAAAGCATTGTATAAATTCAATGCAATCCCTATAAGGATACCCATGACATTCTTCAAAGAAATGGAGCAAACACTCTTGAAATTTATATGGAACAATAAGCCCCCACGAATAGCTAAAGCAATTCTTGGGAAAAAGAAAATGGGAGGAATCAACCTCCCGAACTTCAAACTGTACTACAAAGCAGTAATAATTAAAACAGCATGGTACTGGAACAAAGGCAGAACTGCAGACCAATGGAACAGGGTTGAATACACTGACATCTCTCCTCAATCATATGCTCATCTAATCTTTGATAAAGGTGCAAGTAATGTGAAGTGGAGTAAGGAAAGCCTCTTTAATAAATTGTGTTGGCATCACTGGACGGCTACATGCAAAAAAATAGGCTCAGAACTCTGCCTAACACCATGTACAAAAGTAAGATCAAAATGGATTAAAGACCTCAACATCAGACCAGAAACCATAAGGTACATTGAAGATAAAGTTGGCAAAACCCTCCATGACATTGAAGCTAATGGTATCTTCAAAGATGCCACGCCACTGGCCGAGCAAGTGAAAACAGAGATAGATAAATGGGACTATCTTAAACTAAGAAGCTTCTGCACCTCCAAAGAAACAGTGACCAAAATACAAAGACAGTCTACAGAATGGGAAAGGATATTCACCGAATACACATCTGACAAGGGGTTGATATCCAGGATATACAAAATACTGGTTAAACTCCACAAGAAGAAAACATCCAACCCCATCCAAAAATGGGGCAATGAAATGAACAGAAACTTTCTCAAAGAAGAAATCCGAATGGCAAAAAAGCACATGAGAAAATGCTCTACATCATTAATCATCAGGGAGATGCAGATCAAAACCACAATGAGATACCATCTCACACCTCAGAGACTGGCCCACATCAAAAAGAACAAAAGCAACCGATGCTGGCGTGGATGTGGCGAGAAAGGGACACTCCTTCACTGTTGGTGGGACTGTCGACTGGTTCAGCCCTTCTGGAAAACAGTATGGACGATTCTCAAAAAATTAGAAATTGAGCTCCCATTTGACCCAGCAATACCACTCCTGGGAATATATCCCAGAGAGGCAAAAATGTATAGTCGAAGTGACATCTGCACTTGTTTGTTCATTGCAGCCCTCTTTACAATAGCCAGAAACTGGAAGAAACCTGAATGCCCAAGAACAGATGACTGGTTAAAGAAACTTTGGTACATCTACACAATGGAGTACTATGTAGCTCTTAGAAAAGATGAAGTCATGAAATTTACATACAAGTGGTACAATATGGAAAGTATCATGCTAAGCGAAATGAGTCAGAAAGAGAGGGATAGACATAGAAAGATTGCATTCATCTGGGGGATATAAAGTAACAAAGTATGAGATTAATACCCAAGAATAGCTGAGATCAGCACCAGGAGGATTACTCCATAACTTAGAGGCCAGCCGGGTATCCTAGAGGAAAGGGCTATTCAGATAGAGAAGGGAGCACCAAATAAAGGATGTTTGGAGGATCCTCCCAGGAGGGGAGATGCATGTCGAAAGTAGACTATGGACTGAACATGTTTGCCACTCAATGCCTCTTTTGCAGACCACAACACCCAAAAGGAGAGAGAGAACACAGGGGATTGCCCTGCCACAGAGACGGGGGGATGGGGGGATGGGGGTGGGAGGGATATTATCCATGGTGGTGGAAAATGGGCACTGGTGGAGGGATGGGTATCTGATCATTGTATAATTGAAACCAAAGCACAAAAAATTGTAAATCTACAACTTTAAAAAAAATAAAATATAATAAAGGGGGGAAAAAATCATCGTGATATACAGTTACAAAGCTTTCATGTTCGAGATCCAGCTGTACAATGATCGAACACCCATCTCTCCACCAGTGCACACTTTCCAACACCAATTCCCCAGAATATTGCTCCCCCCATCCCAGTCCTCACACTGATTCCATGGCAGGCAATTTCCCCAATACTCTATCTCTACTTTTGGACATCATGTTTGCTCGAATTTTCCCACCAACATTCAAGTCTGTTTGCCAAGGGCAGATGCTAGATCATTTATTGTCCATTGCTCATTTTGAATATTTTGGGTGCCCCTGCCATGCGCTTCTGGAATCTTAAGTTGTTAATGTTTGGGTTTCAGAGACATTTCTGTAGGGCAGTATTACATTTTGGGATTCATTTGGGGGTCTTTAGACCAGGACCGTTGGCACGCTAAGATGGCCCCCAGAGGCATATTGTGGGTGAGACATCCAGGCTAAGTAGGCAGGGAGCTGAGGAGGGACAACCTGGATCCTCTGCTGCCATGCAGTATGGAGATTTAGTTCTGGAACCCACATACCTGGAACTTGCTTGTGGAAGCTCTTGATCACTGGTATTCCACCTGGAGTAGGCGGAGAGAGTGTACCTACTCCATCTGGGGTGCCCTGGTGAAAATGGCTCGGTATGGAGCCTGGAGAGATCTCTGGCTTTGTGGTATCTTCTGGGACTCACTGCTGTGTCTCTGGCTTTTGATCTCTTTCAAGATCTCTTCATGGGTCTCTGAAGCAAGGCCAGTAATAGAGTTTATGGGTTGGCACAGGAGTTGGTTTGTGGGCGTGATTGCCAGTATGTCCATGTGTATTGTGAAGTGGGGGGAGGTAGCCCACCCCATATCCATAAAAGCATGGAGATTTCAGTCACAAAACCCGCATACTTGAATTTTCAGTATATTATATCTTGGTGAGGTCTGTCCCAATATGGTTGGAGTCAGGTCGAGGGTATGATGGTGATTTTGATTGTGGAATCAAATGGCTGGTGGGGGCTCTGCTTGGGCAGGCATAGGCCAACTTGCCCCTTCTGATTTACCCCATTTTCAGCCATGCGTTTGTCCAAGATTAACTGTGGCTTTTGATCTCTTTCGAGATTTATCTATGGGTCTCTGAAATAAGGCCAATAAATGAGCTTCTATAGCTGAACCGGAGGTGGTTTGTGGGCATGGCTCCCGCATACTTAAATTTTGGCTGTTTAATTTCTTAGTAAACTTAGTCCCAAGTGGTTGGGGTCTGGCCAAAGGCACAGCGGCAATTTGGGAGTATCAGGAAGCCTGAAGGCACCATCAGGCTGCTGATGCACTGGCCCCGCAGGTACAGGTTGACCTATTGGCAGCATCATACACCCCTGGTGTATGATTTTAAAATTAAAATATTTTGTCTCCATGAAATTGCAAAATTATTCATGACTGGGTTTCAGGTATACAATGTATCAGAACTCATCCTTTCACCTTTGTTTACTTCCCTCCACCAATCCACCAGTTTGCTTTTACAAGAGGCTCATATATATATGTGTGTATATATATATATGTATATATATATATATATATGAGTGTGTGTGTGTGTGTGCCTTCGTCACTGTAGTTTACTGTATTGTTGCTGATGGGGTTTCATATATAACACTCTACCACCTTTCAGCATCACCTTACCCTCAACCATAAATGTTCTTCCCCACCCTGTCCTATCCCCCAGTCTCCTAAAGTGACATGTTTCTCACTGAATACCAGTTCCGATGTTGTAGCTTTCGTTGTATTTGGGTCTTTGTTATTATATTTCTTTACATCCAGGACATGAGAGAGATCATTCTGTGTCATTTTTCTCCTCTGACTAATTTTCCCTCTAAATCATACTCTCCAGGTCCCTCCAGGTAGCAGCAAATTTCATGACTTTATCTTTTCTTATGGCTGGGTAATATTCCATTATGTATGTGTACCATGACTTCTTTATTCATTCATCTATTCTTTTTTAAATTTTTCTCCCTGTTTTAGATTATTTATAGAAATCTAGCTTAAGTTTGTTCATTATTACTTTTTCTTTATTTCTTTAAAAATATGGTACACACTTCTGGGAATATATCCCAGAGATGCAAAAAAGTACAGCAGAAATGATATCTGCACTTGTATGTTTATTGTAACACTGTTTACAATAGTCAGAATATGGAAAAAACCCGAATGCCCGAGAACAGATGACTGGTTAATGAAATTCTGATACATCTACACAAAGGAACTGTGCAGCTGTAAGAAAAGATGAAGTAATAAAATTTGCATATAAGTGGATTGACATGAAGAGTATCATGTTAAGTGAAATGAGTCATAAAGAAAGGAATAGGCATAGAATGACTGCACTCATTTGTGGAATATAAATAATATAATGGGAGACTAACACCCAAAGATAGTAGGAATAAGGGCCAGGAGGATTCCTTCACGGCTTGTAAACCAGCCTCACATGCTGGGGGAAAAGGAAGCTGAGATAGAGAAGGGACAGCCAAGCAAAGGATGCTTGGAGGGCTCACTCAGGATGGCGATGCGTGCTGAAAGTAGACAATAGGCCACACATGATGGACACTTGCTACCTGTATAGCAAACTATAACACCCAAAAGGAGAGAGAGTAAAAGGGAATGTGCCTGCCACAGAGGCAGGGAAGAATGGGGTGGGGGTGGTGGGAAGAATACTGGGAACATTGGCGGTGGAGAATGGGCACTGGTGGAGGGGTGGATACTCCATCCTAGTCATTGTATGACTGAAACATAATCACAAAAGTGTGTAAGTCTGTAATTCTATCTCACGGTGTTTCATTAAAATTTTTTTAAAAAATATAGTGTGCTTCATGCATTTGTGTACCATCCTTATGAAGGGGGCCATGCTAATCTTCCCTGTATCTTTCCAGTTTTAGTATTTGCGCTGCTGAAGCCAACACTGATTATTTCGTTCTCTCAGCATAAATCTTCTGTGTGATTCCATTTTCATGAATATGTCATTTTAGTTATTCTACTTTGTAATTTTTGTATAAATAAATTTATTTTTATTATTTTTATTTTTTAATCTATAGCACTGTAGCACTGTTCTCCCATTGTTCATTGATTTGCTCGGGTTCCGGGGCCGAGACCTCCAAGCCTACTCGGATCGGAGTCGAGCATCCTCCACCCAGATCCTCCAAATTCCAGTAGGCGGGGGTCACACCCACCACCTGCCCCCCTGGCGCCGTGTAATCCCATCAACGGCCAAGACTCAGAGACTATAAAATCCAGTTCCCGGACGAGAACAGTGCAGTCTTCTGCCCTCGCGCCTGGCTGTTCCTCGCCTGGGCCCCTTGGAGGGGAGCGGGTTGAGCTTTCCTCCCCGCCCCGACCAGGGCTCCGGCAGCCGAAGACCTCCAGGACCAGCCACCACCATGCTGAGACCACTCTCCGCACACATGAAGGTACTGGCAGAGGGAAAAATCCACGCGGGTTCCGGGGTCGAGACCTCCAAGCCTACTTGGATCGGAGTCGAGCATCCTCCACCCAGATCCTCCAAATTCCAGTAGGCGGGGGTCACACCCACCACCTGGCCCTCTGGCGCCGTGTAATCCCATCAGCGGCCAAGACTCAGAGACTATAAAATCCAGTTCCCGGAACCGCAGCCGCATTCACGGCCACGCAACATCATATCAAGACATCTTTTTATGACATCTTATTATCTCATTCCTACTTTGGACAAACTTGCAGGCTATCGAATGTAGCCTGCCCACAGGGCAGAGTCTGGCAAACTCCCCGTGGCCTACCAAATATGCCAAATACCAGTAACAATGATGAGTCTCATTCTCCTAAAAAGCCTTGAATATAATCTCAGGGCTAGGATGAAAGAGACGTTACTGGGGCCTGCTCGAGGCAATCGACAAATAACAGGATGATCAAATGAAATGAAAATGAAATTTTTATTTTTTAATCTGTAGCACTGCAGCACTGTTCTCCCATTGTTCATTGATTTGCTTGAGTGGGTACCAGTAACGTCTCAGAACAAATTGTGAGACTTGTTGTTACAGTTTTGGGCATATCAAATACATCAAGGGTAGTTTACCAGGCTTTGCCACACGGGAGAGATACTCTCATGAATTAAAGTCCTCAACATCAGACTACAATCCAGAAGGTACGTCAAAGAAAAGGTCAGCAAAACCCTCCACGACATTGAAGCTAAAGGTATCTTCAAAGATGAAACACCACTGACCTAGCAAGTGGAAACAGAGATAAACAAATGGGACTATCTTAAGCTAAGAAGCTTCTGCACCTCAAAAGAAAGAGTGACCACAATACAAAGACAGTCTACAGAATGGGAAAGGATAATCACCCTTCTATAAGAGTTTAATATCAAGGATATAAAAGGCACTGGTTGAACTATATAAGAAGAAAACATCCAATCCCATCAGAAAATGGGGCGATAAGATGAACAGAAAATTTCTCAAAGAAGAAATTCAAATGGCCAAAAGGTACTTGAAAAAATGTTCTTCATCACGAATTATCAGGGAGATGCAAATCAAAACAACAATGAGATATCATCTCACACCACAGAAACTGGCACACATCTAAAAGAACAAAATCAAGCAGTGATGGCACAGATGAGGGGAGATGTGGATTCTCCTTCACTGCCATTGGGAATGCTGACTGGTTCATACTTTTCGGAAAACAATATAAACATTTCTCAAGAAACTAGAAATTGAGCTCCCATTTGACCCAGCAATACTACTTCTGGGAATATATTCCGGAGGTGCAAAAAATACAGTAGAAACAACTTCTGCACTTATATGTTTATTGCAGCACTATTTACAGTAGCCAGAATCTGGTAGAAACCTGTGTGCCCTAGAATATTCATCCATTCTTGGATGCATATTTTTTTTTCCGATTTTGTCTATTGTGGATAGTGCTGCAAGGAACATATGGGAGCAAGTATCTTTTCACCATTTTGTTTTAAGGTCCTTGGGGGTATGTTCCAAGAAGTGGAGTTGCTGTTTCAAATGGAAGCTCAATTTCTAGATTTTAAAAGAAATGTCTCTATTGTTTTCCAGAAAGCCTGGACCAATTGGCATTCCCACCAGCAGTAATAAGAGTCCCTTTCCTCTTGTATCTCCATCAGTACTGGCTGTTCATATTCTTTTTTTGGTGTGTACCAGTCGCTGTGATGTGAGATGATACCTCATTGGTGTTTTGATTTACATATCCCAGATGATTAGTGATGAAGATAATTTATATTGAATCATTGTGAGATACACAGTTACAAAGTTGTACATGATTGGGTTTCAGTCATACAATGTTACAACACCCATTCCTTCACCAGTGTATATTTCTCACTGAAAATGTCCCCAGTTTCTCTCCCAACCACCCTCCAACAGCTTGCCTTAATGGCAGACCCTTTTCTTCTCTCTCTCTCTCTTCTTTTTCCTTTTGTGCACAGCAGTTAGAAATACTGTTACTGAAATGTTATCATGTTTTCATGTTTGTCACTTTATCTCCTTTCAGCACTCAGTTCTTGTCTAGAGTGATCATTTCCAATTATCGTTTCATAGTGGTCCCTTCTCTGTCTGAACTGTACTCCACCTACCCCTCTCCACTTGTGACAAGCTTCCTACTATGGGCCAATTCTTTTGGCCCTCGTTTCTACTGTATTTGAGTATTTTTATACTATGTTTTTATATGTCATGAATGAATGCCATCATTCTATGTCTGTGCATCTCTCTCTGACTCATTTCTCTCAGCATGATACTCTCCATGTTCATCCACATTTAAGCTAATTTCATGACTTCGTTTTTCCTAATTAATGCATAGTATTCCATTGTGTGGATATCCTTAAAGCTGAAGTGATAGTAAAATGGGGAGGACATTTACGTTACACCATGCTGACCCAGATTTGATTCCTGGCATATCATATTGTACCCTGAGCTCTGCCAAGAGTGATCCCTGAGTAAAAGCCAGGAGCACAGCTGGGTGTGGTACCAAAACAACAACAAAAACTATTGTATAGATGTACCATAGTTTCTTTATTCAGCCACCTGTTCTTGAAAACATGGTTTGTTTGCAAATTCTGCCAATTGTGAATAGTGTTACAATGAACATAGGAGTGCAGATGACTTTCCTGCATTGTAGTTTTGTACACTTGGAGTATCTTCCAGAATAGGTATTCTGGGTCATATGAAAGCTAAATTTCTAGTTCTTTTTTTAATAACAGCTAATAGGCAAATTGAAAAAAATCACTGGAAGGTCTCACTATCAGAGTAACTACTGCTGAGGAAAGAATCAGTTGGCTCCAAGACGAGGCACAGAAACCTCCAAACCACAGCAGAAGGACAAAAATACCTCAAAATAAACCAACAGCTGACAAGAAAAATTGGAGACAAATTCAAGAGAAACAACATCAGAATGATCAGGGTTCGAGAGCACCAGGAAGGCAACTTTGATGAAGGAGCAACAGTCAAAGACATCATTGTGGAGAAGTTCCAAGAGCAGGAGACTGCATGCACCCAGATCCAGGAGGCCTGAAGGCCACTTAAAAGATGCAAATAAAAATATTCCAAGATATATCCTAATCAGAATGACAGAAACCTTAGGTAGAGACAGAATATTGAAAGCAACAAGATCAAAGAAGAAAATTAATTATAAAGAATCATCCTTAATATTTACATCAGATTTACCAAATGCAAATCTCCAGGCCTGAAGACAATGGTGGGATATAGCAAAAAAATAAATAAAAATAAAAAAATACATCCAGTTCATACACTCAAACCTTTTACAAGAAGAAATAAAAGGGCCACTTTAAGACTAGATGTGTTTGGTATGATTCTTATGTTTGTGAATTTATGTAAGTTAGGCTAAAGTCCTAAAGTGTGATACATCCTGGAAGATGTTCCATGTACACTAGAGAAGAATGTGTATTCAGCTTTTTGAGGATGGAAGGCTCTGTATTAATCCATTAATTCCCTTTCTCCTAGTTCCTCATTTAGGGCTTTTGTGTCTTTGTTGGTATTCTGTCTAGTGGATCTATTTAGTGGTGACAGTGATGTGTTGGATTCTCCCTGTTCTATTATGTTTCTCTGAGTTTGTGAGCAAAAGCCTTACAAAATTTTCTGACTCAACGGTGAGTATATGTTGATTAGAGTTAGTATTTCGTGGTCTATTGTTCCCTTAATCAAGAAATAGTGTCCATCCTTGTCTCTAATTATTTTCTTTTGGTTGGATACAATTTGGTCTGATATAATTATGGCTGTCCCAACTTCTTTTGTTTTCCATAGACTTGTATGATTGTTTCCTATTCTTTTACTCTGAGCCAGTGTTCATCCTGTGATTCTAGGTGTGTTTCCTGTAAGCCGGAAATGCATGAATTTTATTTTATGATTCATCCAACCACTCTGTGCCTTTTAATGGGAGAGTTTAGTCTATTGGCATTCAGGGATATTGTTACCATTTTACTGTGTAGGGCTGTTGCTTCTATAATTGACTATTTGGTTTATATTAGTAGCCTTTCAGTAGTTCACTTAAGGACAATTTAGTTTTCATAAATGTCATCACCTCTTGTTTTTCTGAGAATGGTTTTATCCCTCTCTTCCATTTAAATGAGAGCTTTGCAGGATAGTGGAGTCCTGGTTGAAAGTCTCTTTCATTCAGTAATTTGAATATGTCATTCCACTATTTTCTCACCTCTACCATTTCATATGGGAGATCTGTTATTCATATGTTATTTCTCTTATACTTAAGGTTTTTCTTCTCTCCTGCCACTTTAAGAAGTTTTCCCATCTCTTTGGTGTTTGTCATTTTGATTACTATGTGTCTTGGTGTTGTTTCTGTTTTAGTTTATTTCATTTGGTACTTTTGGGGGGCCTCTTTAATGTGTTCAACAGCATCCCTCCAGAGAGTGGAGGAGTTCTCAGCTATACTTTCTCCTATTACTCTT